ATTCTCTTAAACATTGCGTATACGTGTAATTTGTCTGAAATAATCGACAAAAACAATGTCAAAACTTTATCAAAAATATGGATGTGGCTTAATGAATTCTTCGAACTTTTTATGCATATAATTATTAATGTAAAATAATACTACACTTTTATAATAAATTACGTTCTTAATGAACAAAATGCCATCACATTGTGTAAGTTAATGATATTAATAAAAAAAACCAACATTAAACAAACAAACAAGAAAGGAAAAACAGTACTGGTATTCCAAGAGTTTTCATCTTTTATTCTGATCCCTCAAATATCCGTTGCATGTGCAACAGGTTTATATCACGAAAACAAGCAAAATATATTTAATGTCGAACGTCATATTTTGTTAGCGTAGCTCGAATTGGCACTGGTGGAGAACCAATGGTACATAATGTATGTGTTCAGAGTATTTATATGGTTTACATTATGAGAACTGGTCCTGGAGAAGCATATCAACTGGGAGTTGTAGACTCCATAAACAGCGAGTGGGCGTGGTTCAGTTTGTCATGGGGTTTTGGTGTGAGGTGACCGTTATTGTCGTAGTGTAGGTAAATTACAAGATATAGAGCTATTAAAGATAAGTATCATGTGTAACAGCCGCAGAAACGTGATCCTGTTAAGGTCAAACATATTCTTAAAGAAAACCCTGTACTAAGTATCATTGACATCATTTAAATAATGTTATTGTTGTTGGGAAATGAACACCCCACAGCTACACTAGTCTGTGTTACAATAAATTAGCTCGTTATCATATCACATTACTGTAGTCTCTCATAATGAGGTTCACAAATTTCCTTCGCGACTCATTATGTTTCAAACTTACATGAATAATAAAGTCAACCTTATTCTAAAATCTTAGCCTATCTTTAATACACCGAAGCACAACCCTTACGGTCGTCTTTGCCTTTAAACTCACTTGTGAATTAGATAAAATATATAAAAAACAACTATATTATATTAACATCAAAATGGTATCTTAAATTCTATACACCGCGAGATCAAGAAAAACCGAGGAAAGAAAACATAATGAATGCTATCATAAACTCGGACGAAGGCTGAACAGGTGCAATAAGGTTAATAAACCGGTAAATACTGTCTTTAAAATCGCAAAATGGATCCAGATGCCGACCGTTACATTTCAGAGTATATTGAAACATCGGTGATAAACATTATTGCTACGTAATGCATTATTAGGCATGACACTCCATCCTGCTTTTTACTGAAAATGTATATAGATATTATCAAAAGGTGATTCGAAGGTGATTTGTTTATCTCGTTAATGTGGTACGGAATAGGGTTGTATATGCTGGTTAGGGTATTGTTTATATTTCGATTTAATCCTAATCAGTATTTTGTTTAAAACATCAAGATGTAAATAGGTATTCGCAAATATTCAGCCCTTCAATTTTATTTATTTTTGAATTCGGAACACGAGCTTCTAACCTATCTCTGGGTTTAGATATTTAATCAAAATTGTGCCTATTTTTTCTTAAAATATATTATGCACACTTTGCAAGGACTATTTCTTGCAGGCATTCCTTTTGGAACAAATTCTGTCCCTCGTCTGGCCAGTTTGTTTTTGCTTTCATTCGAGGCAAATTATAGATGAATGGGAAGCAAAAACCTAGCCAAGTCTTTCAATTTCACATTACAATATATCTACGATGTGCTGTCCTAAATTAACAAGAAATGTATTGACCACACGGATCGTTTGAAATAAGGGACACCCCAGATTCTTCTTCGTCCGTCACCTTCCTCGATTACTTACAACATGACAAACAATGACGGCTTACTACTAAGCTGTAATAAAAGCGGGACGATTTAGACTTTCGATCTTTTTTCCTGAAATATATTTCAAATCTTGATTTACAGTATAAACAAAAACCACGAAAGGAATAAAGCGATTTTAAGTTTGCATCAATCGGTTGTTCTCAGCAAATCTACCTCGTGCTTTGAGTTTATGTGTCACAGTTTATTTCCTTTTCCAGATCCTGTTCTAAGTATCAGGACTTTTTAGTTATACTATGTTTATGTGTACTGGAGAAAATATACAAACGTAAAGTATGTATTGAAATGACACAAATCTACCACCACTGTACGAAAGAGGGAGTTTTATATGAGCTGATGCTCTATGTATTTTCTCCACGACATTGAGGAGATGGTAGATTACGGAAATGTAAGCGAAACCGTAATTTCAAGTTAAAATCGATGACACTATGACAAAATATGAACAAAGAGAAGATTTATACGAATACCCTCGAAAAGGACGTGACAATAAATAAGACCAGGGGTTTCGGAAGGAAAGCGTCTTCTATCACATACATTCTGAGCAAGCCCGTAAAAAATCGGATCAACTGCGACCTGTTATGTTAACACAGAAGTTTGGGGAAAAAACAGGAATGTTATTGTTATCAAAAAAACACCGAAATAATTCAATTATACAACCACAGTTAAGAAGGCGTTCCCTAGAAGATTGTTCTCTGTATATATTTTCAAAGTATCAATATGTTTCGGATAGTAGCGTCCTGGTGACGACTTGAGCAGGACTTTTAAGATAATTCCCAACTTCTGTGTTGACTATTAGCACAGGGACAAAACACAGGAACATTTTATTCGTGTAAATTTCACTTTAAATATCCTGATATGAACTTAACCCTTTCACCCCTAAAGTCACATTTAACCGTACAAAATCATAGACTGGTCAAGTCCAGTTTGGTTAGATAAGGGTGAATGACTTAACCTTCAAATATTGACAAACATCAATATTTGTCAAAGGGATGTATACTTTGATGTCTTTTACGATTACGAAGCATTCCAAATACAATATCATAGGTATTTATCAAGGGGAATGGGTATTATACATATAATTATTCCAAACATGCCACTGAAGGTGACAGAAATTCACATTAAACAACGTTGAAACAGAGTATTTGATAAGACGTCACTATCAAATAGGGATAACTTATTATTAATTATATTGCTTTTTTTACTGTAGCAAAAACTTCATGTTCGTTTTAAATTTTGTAATTCTCACGGCAAATGTTTGTGTCAAATAGCGCTCATTTTTCCAAGCGGTTTTCTCGTTGGCTTAATTAGTGAATTAGAATATCTACCGAGACAACCGCCCCTGGCTGCAACCGCCATTTACAGGCATGAAGCGACAGGTGCTGAAGTGGCTGTTCAATTGGGCGTAAAATTATAACTTAGGCCATGTGTGTTCCCATTAAACAGATAATATCTCCTCCCTTTGTTGGTAAGAAGATTCACAGATCGTATAGAGACTGGGTATCAGTTCCTCAGGATCTGTTGTCACTGTGGCTCTTGACTATCAGCTTCACTGGTGTGTCGATAATGGGACTCTTACAAAGTACAATGAAATCAGTTAGCTGCGCTTCTGCAACAAGAAATCGTGCTTTCGTAAGGAGGGCAAATAATGCGGTCCTTTGTTTTTTTGTGAAGATAGTGTTTCAGAATAGTGTTACCCTGTGGTAATATGATGACTTGAACCATATGTTACATAAAATTTAATTATCCGTTTCCCGATCGCGAGGAAATGTTCGACATCAGGTGAATAATATAATCATCCTAATCGCTAGATAAAGACATCTGCAGACGTCCAGTTGTCTGCGTTAGGCATGAACTGACAGTCTGTCAATCCTTTATACGATGATATACGTCCCATGCATCAACATCTCACAAGAAACAACAAATTAACGAGGAGTTTATTATGGCAGACAAGCCAAGGACTATCTCTGTTACAAGACAGATTTCCAAAGAGGCAGAACTTTGAAGACTATGGACAAATGTATGGTCACCATCATGATTCCACATGGAAATTTGCTTTTTCTTTGTATGTTCGTATTTTACTCATCCCTTGAGGTTTTGTTGTCACTACTCGAGGCTTCGATCTGAGGACGTGACATACCTTTGGCTTTACCTAGATACACATGGTGGGTGTCGCCGAGGAAGCATAGGGCGCTACCCTTCTGGAACACCTGGTCTTATTCTCCTTGTGTGTTTCATTAGTTCATATTTTGCCCCAGTTTTACTGCTTTTTGAGTTCGAGTTGTGGTTTTGTTGACACTTCGGTTTTCTCTTGTTTCTTTGTTTTGCAAAATGATTCTTTACCACAGAGTTGACACGAGCAATAAAAACTCAAAGATGGCACGGAATGACAACAAAAGACCAAAAAGAGACTAAAAAAATACACTGTTTATAAGGACAGACGTGAATAAGATGTTCCGAAAGTACATGCAAGTTTTCCTTCACCATCGACGTATCCCGCAGTGATGACTCCGGCCAGGTCAACCCAGACAGGAATTGATTGACATCCCATTGCTGAAAATCCAGTCTTTACGCCAAACGTGCAATTTCCTCAGCGCAGATTGCAGTATTTACAGCAGGTTACCTGGGATACGTAAATGACTTCATCTCGACCTTTGTCGTGTATCTGGATGGTATCAAATACTTTCGAGTTGAAGGAAATTATATTTAAATATACTTTTGTATAACGTAATATCATTTTTATTTATTTATTTTTATGTGAACGTTTTTCTAGGTTGATACAGTCTACCTATAATCAAATAACATTGTCATTATGGCAGTCACACAATTTGACCGTCATTCATATCTAAAACGTATAAGAAAGTTATAACATTATTGTGTTAATAGTCTGATGATAAATTTACAGCAGTTGCTATGACACCGTTGATTGTTTATAAACCAAAAAATCCCCTATCCTCTTAACTCGTTTCGTTACGATATCATCTAGTGTTGAAACAGTACATAAATATTCCACCGATTTTAAACACGAACGCTAATGCATACAGACATATCAGCCTGCAATATTTAGATGAATTTGTGAGGCCGGGATAATTAATCAAGTCTGATTCCGTTGTAGAATTGTCTGAAGCCTCTCATCACCATAAGACACCAGCATATTACAAACAAACCACACCAATTCGATTGTCATAGAATTATGTTTGTTTGTTTATTGTGTCTATCTGTACGCACATTGCATGAGAAACGGATGTAAATATTACATACGTCACATAAGTATTCATAAATGTCAGTGACGCAATTAGTTGTACACAAATACAGATGACGTCATAAAAGATGTACACAAATGTCAGTGACGTAATTAGATGCACACAAATATGAATGCGTATTATTCATTTTTTACACACATGTCCATGAAAAAAAACAAGCCAACATCAAATGATGACCACGATGACGTTTTACACAATAGTTCAAATGATATAGCATACATTTTTAGAACGTATAAGAATGCTATCACAATAATATTGATATTTTAATAATACACCATAGTGTATTGCGACAGTGTTGATGGAGAAAGCATTATTAAGAAATTATCAATACTTTTTGGTTTGTTACCATACCATCTGATAAAAAACTCATTCAAGGTTCATAAACTTTGGAAACATTATCTTGAATCTAATGAAAATGATAAATCTCCTAAAATAAAAAAGTGAATTATAATCTTGCAATTGCAAAGCTACTTGGTCGGCTGTGGAACATCTTTCCAACTTTTTGTTTCCGAAATCAAACAGAATTTTCTATGTTGCAAATCGGGAAATGTAATTTCACAGATGTTAAATTCGTGGTAATAATAACCGGAAGAGCGACTGCAATCAGGATTGTCCGGATTATCTTAATCCGGAGTAATGAATACCAGAAGGATTGTTCCAGCATAGGAGTACGTTCATAACGACACTAAGGTATCACAACACATACAGTGATGTTAGTGGATACTTGAGGGTCAACTGGCCGTAGAGATATAGGACGTTAATACTACACATAGTAAATCGCTCCGTCACGTAATCTGTGATAAAATATTATAAACTAAATTCCAGTAAACTGTGACCATATATTTAAAAAACCGAGACAGCGTATAAGATGAGACATTTTATTCGAGTTTTATCTTAAATTGATAGTATGGTTCATTATTCAGTACAATTGTTTTTTCAATAGAATTTAAAGAGACTATGTCGTTTTGTGACCTGAAAGTTCTAGTTGACTTTGGTCTTAATTTTTAAAGACCAGGTAGTTTTATGACGGGACTGGAATCTTTCTTCTCTCGCTTCGAGAAGAACTCTCTGCGGTTTTCAAAGTTTCAATTCAGGATGTAAGTCAAGCTTCAAGTTGTGAGTTCAGAACGAAACGATCGAATGACGTCATTTTGTTTATTATCAGATGACGTCATTGTACATATGTGTTGTTTCGGTAAAAGTATTCTTTGTTAAAGACATAATCCCTTTCAGGGGTAAGATTCCTCAAAAAGCAAAAATACGTCAATTGTTTCTTCCGTGGGGAAATATCTTACTGTTGCTACTATGGACAGTAATTTTTAATACCTGTTAATGAATATGTAATGACGTCATTGATGTTTGCTATTTGACGTCATTGATATGTGTGTTTATTTCACTTATTACATTTGTCGGCGTCATTACATTTATAGTTAAATGTCGACGTCACTAACGATTGTGTTGACATCACGGATTGCTTGTAGGTAGGTGTCAATTATTTAAGCACATTCGACTACGTAGGCGTTGCAATGATATACTCTAAAAAAATCCTTCTGACTCCTATGGTAATTGATGCTGATAAATTACTATTTGTAGATTAAAAACAGCTGATAGATAAACTTAATGACGAAGGAATTGTGACCAATATTTTAGATGTACTTCTAATACTCTAACGCAATACCCATTTTACTAATTTTAACATTTACACGTCATTAATTGCATTTCAAACGATATAATAATACACATGTTCGAGGAATGTTGTTTCAAATGACACGTTCACCAGCATATCTGACCCTGTAAATATGCTTCAACACAATCTGTGATAAAATAAATACTGAAAATCACTGACTTCTGCGAAGAGTATACTGTATACATGTAAATATTTGCAGTGGTTGAATTTTCGCCGTTTCTACATCTCCTTCGTTACGACGGGTTTTATTCATGAAGTTGAATTTACGTCTAAATCATTGTATACATGGTAATTTGACTTAGAATAACATCACGAGGATATGTAATTTACCGGTAAACGGCGAATATTTCACCTAGCGAACATTTTCCTGTATACAATATATTCGCTGTGGTTTTTTTTGCGATATATGTCGGTTGTGATTATAACTGTCGCACGAATGTTAAATATATACAATTTCAACAAAGATAACATTGAAAAATCCTTAATACTAGTTAGTCGTTCGGATCGCTCCCGTGATCTACAGTAATCTGATGATATATAGATGATGGATGGTAGTGGTAAAGTTTAATGATATAACATACCTGATACAACTAAGATTTTTTTTGTTCTACACAAGAGACATTTATTACATTTTAGAAACATATTTGTTCATTCGAAAGGATTTTAAGATAACATAAAGGGATCTAGTTGCAGAAATTATCAAAAATCCACTAGAATACATCACTCATGTTATCACAGGTAGGTCACAACTGCATTTATTGTATCTCAACGAAGTGAAACATTTGTTTAAAAATCTATGGAAACAAGATTTGATAAAGTTTGAAGTAGCCACAAGAATATGTCTTTGTATAGATAAATTATGTTTGGATTTAATGCACTGAGTTCGAGGACATGGAACACATACGATAAGTGACAACAAAATGGAACGGTTACCAACATAGAGGATTCATAACAAACGAGTCTCAAAATAAACAATGTTAAAAGACAATGTTGATCACAGATATCGGGGGAAACTTATGCACCTTTCTGGAACTTTCAAATTCCAAAGGCCTTATGTTAGTTAATGCATTGTCTTGTCATTTGTAGGCCAGGAAACTCACGGATCTCGTTCTCCGGAAACGGAGAGGCGATTGTCGTTCGTTGAATGCACCACAGGAAACGTTAATTCTGAACACTGCACATGCGCGGGAATGTTTACTGTGTCACTTCCCGTTCGTCAATAAATATGACATGCGTAAAAGGACTATATCGAACAAAGTATATACATGTACCACAGAACGCGTTGTTCCTCTGTCGTGTAGTTTCCCCATCAGCATTCCGTATTTTGTAAACACCTTTGGTCGCGGTTTTTTTCCGTTATATTCCGGGGGGAATCGTCGAGGGTATTGTCAAACAATAAACACACCACGTGTTCTGGGAGACACAGGTGCGTCCGACTCGATAGGTCGATCTATTACTATCATTAGACATTAAACAACGATTGACGACACGTGGTTTCTATAAATAGAAAAGAAGTTCCTCCTAGAGTTTGCACAGACCGTTCATAACTCTGGGCTATTACTGTTCAAGTATTTTCTATTGTTTTTATTCTTTCTTCCCTGTCCCCTCCTTTTCTTTGTACGGTGCCGTCGGCGTTTACGACGTGGTCTTCTTTTCCGAGATTTTGATTCATTGTCCTTTTTAGAATATTGTACACAGTTACATGTCTTCACTACCCTAATCTTATAAGTCCGAATTGTGCCGTTAGGGCACAGTAACTTAATTCTCTGTCGCCGCGTTTTGCCTTCCTTGCATTTCCAGTGTTTCACATACTGGGAATGCCAATATTTAAGATATTCGCCCCACCAAGACTTATTTTCTTGTCTCTCAGGATGACATCGTCCTGCACAAACCCTTTCCACTACATAGTCACTAGAAGTACACGTCCCGTCATAAAACAAACGCTTCGACGTCAGCATCTTGCATTTGATTGTGACCTCATCTGAAAAGACAGAGAACACATTTGAAGAACTATAGAAGCATGAATATGATTTTGACAAAATCTGAAAATAGACAGAATAACTGATGCCAGCAAATAATGCACTTCATTGCGGTTTTACATGAAGATGCAGAAAAGATATCGTAGAATACATTTTAACAATACTCCTTTATCATTTAAAAAAAATAAAAAAAAATAAAGGGGTTCATGTATCCCCCTTATATTTCATCAGAAGTTAAGACTCATTTTGGTATCCCCATTTTGGCCCCTAGCATCATTGAATAAGTGCAATTCAAGGCGTGTGCGTGTTTCGTTTGTTTTATCATTACTCTATCAGCTTAACATTACTCATCGAACAAACGTATGGAAATATTCAAGGAACGAAACCGAACCAAGTGTTAATAGGAGTCAATGATAATGTCGTAATCATAAATAAAACTACTGAGAATACAGACATCTCTTTAATTCAAGTGGATGATGATAGTGTTACAGTAATCTGTAGTTGATATCCTTTTGTAAAACGTTTAACACTATTATATAAACTTATCTCTTCGAACATAAAATACTCTTACACCGTCCTTGTACCCTCCCGATGACGTCATTCCATGAGCGTATCCACAGTGCACACACACACACACACACACATATATATATATATATAACGTCCCACTGTTGACAATAACAACATGTGAGTCACATCCACAATGTTTGGGCAATATTCCATATCAGATCTCAATCAATTATACAGAATAACCCATCTTTAAGCAAGGTAGGCATGTTTCATGTTTTATTTTGGTGTTCAGTGAATATTTAAACATATATTCATTGCATACTGCCGTTTATTGTTTTTTGTAAGGTATATTTATATACAGAAATGTAGGTCAGAGCGTAATGATATCAGTAAATGTTCTGATGTCGGCTCAGGTAAGAACGCAAAAAAAATGAAAAAAAGAAAAGTGCTGAATTGACATATACGGCGCTGTCAAAGAGCAAACAGCTCCCCTTACGATTCCGTCTATATAAACACAAGCGTCCTTGTCAATACAGCGAAGCTTTCAGTACCGTACTGGGAAGTATAGGTAACACGAGAGGGAACCTCTCGCGGGTCAGTAGTTTCAATTGACCCATGTCACATATCAAAACACTTCAAAAATACATGTCTAAAAAATAGAAAGGCTATATTTCATGAATGACTTTTTCAAGATAAGAGAAGGTAGGATTTTAAAGTCCGGATTTTAATCTAAAGTGATTCGAGACAACTTATTTTATAGAGTAAGAGTTTATATTGCTATAGACAACCACATGTAGGCATATCATGGCTATCACTGTAACAGGTAGATCACCGTCCCATCACAGATATCTTAAACAGTGCAAAATGCAATTCGGAACATACTAGACGAATCTCTCGTTACTGTAAACCTATCTGTATGTACACACCCATATTTTCGCGGCGATTTTTTTTAAATTAAAAGCTTTATGATGCTGAGTTTAAAGTACCAACACATGTTGATTTAGTGATTTTATTTTTAGTGGTGATCATTATTTAGAGCGAAGAGCGCTATTGTTTACTTTTTTTCAAAGAAAAAACGCAACTCTAGGTTCGGGGATAAACTGAACCTGCTATAACGCTCTACATGATTGCTCGATACAACTTGTATGACCTCTTTCTTTGAGATCTCAGGAAGAAATCAACATGGATCTCCTTCTGTAGAAATTTCAACATCGGGTATCTTCGTCCTGTCCTTAGCAACCCCTTTCTACAACATTTTACTACCGTGTTACACCTACCGGATTTCCATTTGTTAATTGTTTGGCCTTATATGACGCCATTTGGTTGTGGGGCCATTATGACATAATAGGTTAGTAGGTAACGTATCGATGCACACAATGAACTTCGTTGAGGAAGATTTTTTTCTCTCGATCACATGGAATTGCTATGGACGATAAATATTATGATGTACAATACAATAATACAATACAATAAACTTTATTTAACGTCGGATATTTAAAAAACATTTAAAATAAGCTATAAAAAGCTATTATTCCGACAAAATGTAAAAATGGAGAATACTTCTCATGATTCTCTACCCCAAGCGATAACTCTCTAAATTCTGAATACATATCAGTACTGTAAGTAGAGAAGCTTTACTGACGACCCCTAGTCAACCAATCGTCTGTACCAGACATACCCATATTTTAGAAACACGCATAAACAACCCATTACATATGTTTCGGTACATGCAAACTTGTACTCTCCCGTTCTCCTGGACGCCCAATTATCTTCTTTGTTTATTCTTTATAAACCCATAGACTCTTTTTAACAATAAATATGACAAGAAAGTCTCTCCTATAAAATCACGATGCCCTCTTTTATGTTCCAAAGACGTATACCACTATAGCCTAAACATTCCCATTCAGTCCCATGCGACGTGCCCTTCTTTGGCCCTCTACGTATATACCGATATGGCTCCAAACATTCATCTCTAAAGTCCCAAAGGTAACCCCGACGTACCTCTCGATAGCCCCATGTATACTCCTCTACCTACTCTATAAACCCAGACATCCCCCTCGGTAGCCCAAGGAATACTCGTCTAAAGCTGCAGACGTACCATGTACCCATGTAAAGCTCCAGACATACCCCTTTAAAGTCCCAGACGTGCCCATCTCTTGCTCAAGGTGGTATACCCCTACAGCCCCAGGAGTTACTCTCTATAACCTCAGACATCCCCCTCGGTAGCCCCAGAAATACTCGTCTATAGCCCCAGACGTACAGTGTACCCATGCATAGCCCCAGGAATACCAGTCTATAGCCCCAGACGTACCTCTCCGACATGTTACGTTAATCACGCAACAGTGACCAAAGTCCGTAATGGCTGGCCCCTTTGATGGGATCGACTTTACAACCACACGGCGTGTTGGCGTAAAAAATTAATGTACCGTGTCCCTCGCCAAATATTGGACTCCCCATTCATAAAATCTACGCATGTGTATATATATTATCAGGCCATTTATATATTCCTCCAAATGTATCGTTGATGTGTACGAGGCTATATAAAAAGTGACACGAGACCTCGAAACAGACGTAATTAAGCTAAAAACTGCGCCCAATACCTACAATTTTTTGTGTAATAAAATATTATCAAACAGAAGGAAAACTGATGTAGAAGTAAATCATATTGTGCCAAAGAATGAATTCAACACGAATCCATAGTTCTCTGGCATTATGCCAAAGAATATTTTTTTCCCGTTCAAGGACTTCTGATATTTTGCCGATGAAACTGCCAAAACGGGACAGGATGTCCAGATCTAGTATTTATATATATAGCTGCATTTCTGGCTACAAACGTTATTACATTACTACAGCCTTAAAATATAAATATTGAACGACACATGATTACCTTATCAGTTAAAATTAATGACGCTACATGATAGTTAATCTAGTTTGATTATTTATATCTTTTAACCGATATATATTGCAAAGACTGGACTGCTCTATATACATAATTCGCAATTCAAAAAAAGAGGAATTGTTTTTCTCGTTTCGGTTCATTCTATTGTTCACGCACAATTTCCTTTATTAAGGCATATCAACATGGCATATGCCATCATAATGATTACATAGATTTAAATATCTTTTGGGTTAAGTCAGAACATTAAATGGCTTAAATAGCCACTGGAAATCGATATTTTACAACATATTCTAATTATTACTTACAGTGAACATTAGATATTCATTGCAAAATAAAATCAAAATCTATATAGTTATACATCACGTCCTTTCATCAATACACATTTGAATGTAGGTAACTTAAATTTAAATAAACAGTTTATCGTTTTTTGATAATGAATTATTCAAAATGCAAATAAATTACAAATTAGCGTAGAAATCGTCTTGCATGCAGATTCATGTAAGGGGTTTAGCAAACGTGCAGTCACATGCATACAAGGGTATGTAACAAATGATCAGCTTTAATTATAAGCTTTGAGAAACCTTAATGCAGCATCCATTAATTCATCAATAATCCTGATTAAACAGAAAAAGGACATATGCTAAAATAAAAAGGAGACGCGGAATCAGAGTTTTAGGTGGAACATCAGTGAAAAAAACGTCGCTTCATTAGGTAAAATAGTTGTCCTGGGATGACGTTTACATTTTTTCTGAAAAACGTGATCGATCGACTAGTACGTATATTAAATACACAAAATGAATACAAACATATATTACCATAATATTAAGTGTCATTATCAATTAGTACGTATCCAATTAACTCTAAAAAGCTAGCAAGTCTGCGTCCTATCTAATGTAAAATATAACAAGAGTACAACATAGGTAACACATAAGACTAAAATGAAAACCGAAGTTGGATACAAATAGGCATCGACAACGGAAACGCATTACCTACGTCTAAACATCATCATATCCCCAGTAAAAACAACACAGCTAGGCAAACTACCGGCACGTCCAAGGGTATTACAATTGTAAATATTCTGAAGCGCAAATGCAATACGTCGTGTATATCTTATCAATAACCCAGGAAAGTTAAGAAAGTGTTTTGTTCTGAACGTTTTCTTAAGAGAACATATATATATATATATCAATCCGCCTCCAGATTACCCCTTTAAAGTCCCAGACGTGTCCATTATAAAATAAAATAAAACTCTATATCAATCTCCTCCAGAATACAACGACACTGTCAATCCGCCTGAAGAAGCCCTAGAAGGCAGAAAGGCCTAGCGGACGATCTGAAAAAATTGTTTTTATTCTATATTTTCCTTCGCAAGGACTTATTTATTTATTATCTACTATATATATATATATATTTATATTAGATAAGGAATAACATGTCTGTTATATCAAGCTACATGATAGGAGGAGGCAACTAATGTTACTTTCTCCCGTAACCCGTTCTATGGACATTGACAAGACAACAGAAGATGGAGGATACCACAGCCTCGATAATGAACAAAAATGATATCCGTTTTACATGTACAATAATTTGGTT